TGTGTCTGGGAGATGTTTCCTCCTAGCCCCATTTTTCCCAGTGCCTGACTTGCCAGTGACATAGGTATCTTGTTCCCAGGTCACAGTAAGTGTGAAAGTCAAGGAGGTGTCCTCAGACACAGTGCAGCACAGTGAGGCATTGCAGGAACCATCTGATTCCTACCTGGTGCAGCCAAAGGCCTATCCTGTGGACATACCTATGGGGGAGGCAGGACAGAGGGAAACCCCAGAACTTCAGCACAAGCCACCTCATGTCCCCAGAAGAGGAGCCCCTGCCCAACCAGGAGTAGGGTAAGGTACTGGATGCTGGCCAGGCTGTGGGCCTGCATGTAGGGGAAGATGCTTGAATGTCTGCCTCTGTTCATGATGGGGTCGTGATGTATGTAACCGTGCGGCTGAGGTGTGCAGCGCCCAGGTTGGGGGTCCCTGATCTTTCTTGCTGCATGTGGGCAGCTCCTAGCAGAAAGATGCTCTGTCTTTGTTGGGCCTTGTAGTGCCACCATGGTAACAAACAATGAGCTAGTTGATTTTTCTATTAATCAATATTCTAATCAGCCCTTTCTCATGCTCCCACAAACCCTCTGTGCCCATTAAGGGGCCAGTGCAGGTGTCAGGGAAATGCGTTTCCTCAGTCTCCATGGGCTATTAGTCTGCCTAGAAGAGCCTATGCCTGACAATGCTACAACCGAGCCCCTGCTGTAACCCTCGCCCAGCACCTTCGTCTCACCTGGACTATTGTGACAAAATGTTCTTTGCTTTTAGAAAAGTGAGGCAGGGGAACAGACTGCCTAGGAAAGCTATGGACTCGCCATCACTGGAGGTTTTCAAGAAGAGCCAGCCCTGGCTGCAATGATCTAGTCGGGGATGGTCCTGCTTTGAGCAAGGGGCTGGACTAGTCCAGTGGTTCCCACCCTTTTTTGGACCAGGACCCATTTGTAAACATCGATGGCCAATCCAGGCCCAGTGCCCTTCACTCCTGACCCAATGCCCCACACCCCCAGGCCGCAGCCCCCCTGTGTGTGGGGCAGGGAGTGGGTGGGTGTGTCGGGCGGGGGGGAACCAACACCTTGCAGGCTGAAACTCTTACAGCCAGAAAAGGAAAAGCCACAATTTCCTGCATTTTTGCCTTTAAAGGAGAATCCATTTTTAAAGTTGGTTCACAACCCTTTCATGTATTCTTGCAACCCGCTTTTGAGTTGTGGCCCATGGATTGAGAAACGCTGGTCTAGATGACCTCCTGAGGTCCCTTCCAACCCTCCATTTTCTATGATTCTTTGATTGTAAGGGGATGGATAAGCATTGGTCAGGGATGATCGAGAAGTAATTAGGACTGAAGTGCTTTGCAAAGCATGATACTTTGAAGCCCAAGAGCCCCCACACATGGATCACTGGGACATAACAAGAAGAGCTCTGCAGCCTAAGGCAGGGCAATATCAGGGATGACAATACTCAGCAGCAGGAGAATGAAGTACAGCTCCACAACTAGCTTAGTTGTGAAAGATTAAAGGGCTGGAATAAGATTATGGAGGGGATATAAAAAGAGGAGGTCTGGCTGTCCAGGAAGAAGGTGCAATGTGTGGAGTTATGCTTGCTGCCCCCAGGTTACAGAGCAGAATGAATGATGTTTAGTATGCCCCATGCTTATGGGCTTTGCTGGTTGCCACCTGGGGTGGAAAAGGAAACTTTTGTTCTTTTCCTGTTGCTACAGGTGGATGTTTATGAATTTATTGGTAGCAGCATTAAAAATGCTGAAGGAATAGGAAGGGCTGCCGTCAGCAGCAGCGATCATGGACTGCCCGCAGATGCCGTTGATGGTGTCAGCGGTGAGGTGTGGGGGAGGTGGCAAGCAGCGACTGCCCACATGCACTGCCAGCAGCGTTGGCAGCACCTTTTTGCAGGAGGTGCACCACCATGCTCAGGGGGTGCACGTGCCTCCACGTGCACCCTGTACACATCACCAGTGGTAGTTTGTACACCTTCCCCTAGTGTAATGTGTATCCAGGAAGCATTAAGCCTTAAGCCACCAGTGCCAGGTCAGGCAGTGTAACATTTTTTTATTGCATTGGTTATATGTTACCTTGGAAATAATTAAATCCTGTAAATTCTAATATTATAGAAGCCATAGCCTGTCTGTCTGTAATGCTTTATTTGCACTCTGATTGGCTGTTTTGGCTGCCCATTAGAGTGCTCCAAGAGCGTTCGGATGGCAGGTGGCGGTGGCACGGACCGCTGCCGTGACAGCAGGGACGGGGCGGGGGGG